ACTATGGACCATGGACCCTTATCCCTAAACCCAATCCTTAGTTCCAAAAGGAATAGAATTAGCAAGCCTATAATATTAGTTCCTAACCAGGACTCCTAAATATATAAATAGGGGACTTAAGAGGCACCTAGAACCCCCCACCACAATAAACGTTCCACTACCCCAAAGTGCTCCAAGAATCCCCTTAGAAGAAATCAAGAAAGCAAGAAAGCTTAAAGAAAGACCCTTCATAGCCAAGGAATTAATTAAGGCTAAGAGGTAACCCATGTCTCAACAAAACCTATTTTCATAGCTATGATTCCCCTCTTAGGATTTCCCCATATTATTGTGTATTGATGATTTGTGATATTATTATTGTTGATTGGTGGGATGATTCCATGGGTGATCTTGATGATGAAAGGTTCTTGATAATTTTGGTGTTCTTGATGATTATATGACGTTCTTGATGATTATATGATGTTCTTGATGATTGTAGGATGTTCTTGATGTTTATGTGATATTCTTACCGAATCTTGATATTAGAAGATGAATTGTGTCCTTGTTGATTTAAAAATGATTAGAACCCTAGGTTGTATCGTATGGAATTATTCTTGGTATATTGGGTGGGAATTCGCATGATTGGGTGTTGATTATGTTTAGAAAAGCATGATAGGTTATGTGCCATATGTTTCTCGATCTTTGACCCGTTAATTGTCTACGTGTGTTATCAATTACATTTGAAAGTGTCTAAGCATGGTTTCGGGTTCCACAGCGGTTCCCGGGGCGAAAAGTGATGAAAAGAGTCAGTGGGGGGTAGGTGGGGGTAGGGGACCCGCCACCTACCCGCGGCATTCTCGGGCAGCTCCGGCAGCGGGCAGCCGGCGGGCGGGCAGCTGCCCGCCGAGCACCCGCTGCCCGGAACAGTGGCAGCCGGCGGGTGGACCCCCACCCACCGGCTACCCGCTGGAAATTACACTACCTCGGGCTCCCGGCTTCCCCGTTTGATGTTCCCCGTTCCCCGTGGTGTCCCAACGAACTCCGTTTATCGTGCCGATGTCTAGGTTGATGTTTCGGGTACCGTTCGTAGGTTTATGAGTCTATTACATTGCATGCTAGTTGAATTGGTATCCCGTTGACCTAGGTAAAAGAAGTATGAACCCCTTAGGACTATTCTTAGTAAGTGATGGATCACGCATAAGTTTTGTTATACGTTTTCTCCCCCTTCCTAATGTGTAATGTGGGTTGCATGTGCTTGCTATGTGCTATGTGTGTGTTACCCCAATTCGGTTGCGATTGGATTGGTTATCCTGAGCTGCGGTTCAGAAGCTGGCTGCGGTCAGATTGATACTCTTGGGCTGCGGTCCACCGTTTGGTTGCGATCAAACGTTTCTATACGAGCTGCGGTTCGTCCTTTTTCCTGGCTGCGGTCAGATGACATTCTCTTGGGCTGCGGTCCACCGTTTGGTTGCGATCAAACGTTTCTATACGAGCTGCGGTTCGTCCTTTATCCTGGCTGCGGTCAGATGACACTCTCTTGGGCTACGGTCCACTGTTTGGTTGCGATCAAACATTATGATGAGCTGCGGTTCATCGGTCGGTTGCGATCGACCTCCCCGTGTTGCGATACGGGGCATGGTGCTGCGGGGCTGTGTTAGAGCAATATGCGCTGACCCTCATGTATGGGCATGCGATCGGTCCCGTGGCGCCAACAATGTGCGTTATGTGTGTGATATGTACGAGTTGTGACTAAGAGTGCCTTGGGATGTGACTATGGGTTTCATATTGGGATTGTTTATGATGGGATTATGATTACCGTTTATGCCTTGACGTAACTGCTTTATCTTTTATGAAATGCTTTTGCTTGCTATGTCCACTGCTGGTGTCTAGCCTTAACTGTTGAGTCATTCCCGGTTTTAAAAGCTAGAGTTCATAGGATATATCTTCATGCTCATAATGGTTTTCGTATATCTATATATATCTCTATATGTATTGTATTTCAACGCGTTGGAGTGGGTTACCAGCATCTCTCGCTGAACAGATATATTTGGCTTTCAGGCACAGAAGATTAAGTCACTGGAGTGCGCTAGAACTTAGAAGTAGATAGTTTCCCTTTTGGCCTGCGTGCCACGTTTACGTATTTACGCTTTGAGGATATTAGTTAGTTAGCCTGTGCACTTGGGTTCCCTAGCCCAGGTGTGGCATAGCACCCCGAACGCTTGTATTTATATCTTGGGATTTAATAAGATTCTACCTTTATTATAAGTTTTAAAAGTCTTGAAAATCTGGGGTGTTACATGTAATCTCTTAGTTTATGTTTGAGTGTTTCTTTCTTCTTGAAAGCTTAACCCTAATTCATGATCGAATAAGAGTACTTATAGTTCCATAATAAGAACACTCTCCATAGATACCTCTGATTGTAGATGTTAGGACGCTATAAGAAGAATGTAATCTTAAAGATCTGGTGCATACCTTTTTCAAAGAAGATACGTTGATCTTCTTTCCAAAACAGACATTTTAAACCGCGTTCTGCAAATACGAAACATCTTCGTAAAACAGATCTTCAGTGTCAGTTCCGCTGTTGCTGTATCTAATCAATCAGTCCTCTGTAGAACAAACTGACACCAAGCTAACCCTATCTTAGTTTGCAATAATAATATTGCCGTAGTAGCGGCGAGCGAAATGGGAGCACCCTAAACCGTGAAAACGGGGTTGTGGGAGAGCAATTCAAGCGTCGTGCTACTAGGTGAACCAGCCTGAATGCTGCACCCTAGATGGTGAAAGTCCAGTAACCGAAAGCATCACTAGCTTACGCTCTGGCCCGAGTAGCATGGGGCACGTGGAATCCCGTGTGAATCAGCAAGGACCACCTTGTAAATATTATTATTCTTAGAATATTTTAGATTAATTGTATGTATTATTCTGTACCTTATTTAGGAATATGACCGTTGCCCATAATTGTATATATGAGCCTCAAGGCAAATCAATAAACTCAGGGAATATAATATTTCTTACAGAATTATTCTTTTGCAGGGAGCTCAAGTATCATAGGACATATATAGCTAATTTGGTGGTTGGAGTCCATGATGAAGTTTTTCTGCACAGCTCTTTAGTTTTCCATTATTTTTTGGATGTATATTATAGGTTTGAGTTCTACAATATTGTAAAGTATTGAGAAAATGTACTTTTGATAATTCTTATGTTCTGTTAATAGATTATTATATGTTTGAGTTGTATTGTAATGTATTGAGAATGTGTACTCTAAACTTTAAAAAGTATATTACTAATTATTTCTTTACTTTGAACATACCTTGACCAACTATATATCCTATACATTGTTGATTTGCAGCCTATGATAAGTTTAAATATCTGCAAGCAACAACTCAAATTTTATTAAACTTTCAATCTCATATAATTTATCAAAAAAGTCTTTTAATATTTTTTCAATTTCATATAATTTGTATTGAAATTCATATATATAAATATAAAAAAGATAGGAAAAAATGCATGGTTCTTCATTAGTTATAGACAAACACTTGTAATGTCTTCTGCCAATACTTAAGAACTGTACATAACACAAATACACTACATAGTAAATTAGTGTTTATGCTAAATAAAAACAATTTATAGTTCATAAGACTGTATTAAACAAAGTGAATATAAAAAATAAAATTCTCACTTCGTCTTAGGTTAACTAATTAACAAAATTTATTAGTAATACCCAAAAAAAATAAAAAAAAATATAATATATATATATATATATATATATATATATATATATATATATATATATATATATATATATATATATATATATATATGACTTTAAACTATAAGATTCCAGGTTTCAAAAAATTGATACAAAATGACAGAAACTTAAAGTCATATTGTCCTATATTAATTTTGTGAGAAATAACATTGCAAAATATGAATACGTAACACAATTAAATATGAATATGCAACACAATTAATAATCATAAAATAATATGTTGGACTTTAAACTATAAGCTACCATGTATTTAAAAAAATAGATACAAAATGATAGAAACTTAAAACCATAATCTACATATTTTTTTCAACATTTAACACCGCAAAATGTGAATAGGAAACACAATTAATAAGAGAAATATAGATTATGGTTACAAGGTGCACAATGGATTGCTGAAATCTATCACATGTGATGCTATTGAGAAATATAGATCACTCATTAGGACAGTGTAATGGTTACAAGGTTGGTTGATCATGTTTTGGAAGCTCAGATTATGTGTGGAACGAATGCAGGAACAAAGGTTTTAATTCCTCGAATGTCGTTAACACCTTCTGATTCAAGATTGCCTTTCAAGTTTCAAAGAAAGCAATTTTCTTTTATGCTATCATATGTCATGATAATAAATAAAAGTCAATGGCAAACACTATCATATCACACGTAGGATTATTTTTTAGAAGGTCGGTATTTAGTCATGGTCAAATTTACGTAGCAGTCTCAAGAGTAAGTAAATTTAGGAGATTAAAAATTTTGATATGTGGGGATATTGTACCATCTGTAAGTACGACTAAAAATGTCGTATAGAAAGAAGTTTTCAATAATGGATAATCCAATTGCATCTATAATTTCTAATTAGTAATAAGAAAAAAAAATGAAAAAATAAGAACATAGTCTGGGGGCGGATGTAGCCAAGTGGATTAAGGCGGTGGATTGTGAATCCACTATGCGCGGGTTCAATTCATGTCGTTCACCCATCGCATCTTACTTAATGGTTAGCTGCAATTTTTGTAATGGAGCTCATAAGAATAAAATCATATATATGAAAAAAAATATATAGATAGATATGTTATGATATGGATCTGAATTGTGTTATGTGACATCAATTCGTTATGTATGGATGAGATTCCAAGGTCCTGATTGCGTGCATCCAGTAGGAATTGAACCTACGTGCATATATTATTTCATATGTCCGTACATCGCATATATTTGCCCACACGGGTCATTGAATTTTTTTCTACTAGCTTGATTGGGGGAGATTCTACGAGTTTATAACATCTTGCCCACATGGGTCATTGAATTTTTGTCTACTAGCTTGATTGGGGGAGATTCTATGAGTTTCTGCCATCTCCAAAAGCTCCAACTCGTTATCCCTTAGAACCCTGCCAAACAAAGAAGAAAAAAAAGTCAGTCACATACTCACATATAGGAGCATCATCTGTCCAAACTCCATTCACTTTAATCCGGTTCCTATTTCTTTTGATAATAGCGGAGTTGTGGTAAATCGGGTGTTACAATCACCCACTCAAATCCACTTACTTAATGTTCATTTTTAATACATTGAATGTTAATTTTTTGTGTTGAAGGTTCACTATTTGGTATAATATTTAAAAATGAACTTGCATATTAAAAACAAACATTATACTAAAAATGAACATTTATCTATGGTCCACATAATCCACATTGCAATGTGGATCATGAACTAAAACTACGTCGTATTATTTCATTTGCATATACGTTATTGTATGAGTTCTATTGTTTAGTTTCATTTTTTGCACGTTCAAGTATCATTTTAATTACACTTCAAGATCATTTAAATTTTAATTACATTATCATTTGATAATATATGTTATTACACTAACTTTGTTTTTTAGTATCATTTTTCACATGCACAAAGGTGAAAAGGCCGCCGGAAATTAAAGGTTTGAAAGAAGAGAGGAAGATAGAGAAAGCAATTGTACGTATAATTTTGAGATGTTTCAAACCTGCAAACCTCTACCTTCCTCCCACTCTTCAATTTCTTTAATTTATTAATTTATGAATTTAAGAACTGAGCTCATAAGTTCATATAGAAAATGTTGTACTGTATATATTATTATATGGTACTCTGTACAAGATTACAAAAATAGAAAAATTCAATGCCCATCGTCTTCTATTCTATAGGTTGGATTCCCCACTCTAAGGGACCCCCCCCTCACACCGTAGTAGTTCGTCTGCACTATAAAAAGATACAAATCACAATAATTCAATGACTCAATCAGCATGTAGGGCTAATTAAATGCACCCAAATACTGTCAACACTGAACGAGCGAGCCCGTATATTCTATTCTGTTCTATTTAATATGCACCCACAATCCCTTGCTGGGTACGCCACGGTGCACAACAAAGATCAAGTAATAGCCTGGTGGTGCAAGCTTGCCAGAGGACGGCGCCACGGCGGAGATTGTCTCCTTGGCCACAGAGGTGAGTCCCAAAATCAGCATCCTTTGGCCCTCAGAGTACCCGTGAGTGGTGAAAGGCGGCGGATACATGGTAACCTTAATACTAGACATGTCCGCCGCATCATCTAGCTTGAAATGGATATTGAAATTCTTTCCATAAACCAATTCCGTTTGGGAAAGCTTCTCCACGATCTGCGGCCGGAACTTTTGCAGTGCGGGGGCTAAGTACGGCGGCGAGAATTTCTCAACGCGCATGTCGGTTGGGTATTTGGCTTTCATATCGTAGGAATCGTGGGTGTTACTTCCCGCTACTAAGATCTTAGCGTCGGGCAAAACCGCAGAAGTGGAATGGTACATTCTGGCAATTTTTGTTGGTGTCAACTCAGTAAACCTTTCCCCTTTCGGTTTATCCGGGCTGTAAAGCACCGGAGTGAAATTTGGTTCCTCCGCCGCGTCCCAACCAGAGGTCCCGGTTTTCGCGCCATTAATTATGAGGACATTCCCAAAACCAAAACCTCCGCCTTCACAAAATCATTCGCTTTGGTGAGTTTGAGAGGAAGAAGCGCGGATTGCCCCGAGGCCGGGTAGTTCCGGGACCCCCCTGGCAGCTTAGGAAGCTCCCGAATCGTCTTTCCGGTTCTAGGGTTGAAAATAATGGAGCGATCGTTGGCGAAGAGGAAGACATTGCCGTCGGGGAGGAGGTACACAAATGGATACAAATTATTCTCCAGAAAGCCGTCGGTGGTTTCCTCGAGCAGCCGAAGCGGAAATTGTTTGTTCGGGAATTTAAGCTGATCTGGCGGGACAATTTCATAGTTGCGAGATTTTCTTCCTCCCACCACGATAAAATCACCATTTTCCAAGACTTGTTGAGAAGCATACCTGCCAGTTCAGTTCAACGTAGTAAATTAAATTAAATTAAATTAAATTAATTATTATAAGATCAGAATTTGAAAATAATAATGCTTACCATCTGTTTGCAGAAAGTCCAACATCTTCCTTGAAATCGCATAAATCGCAGGGTTCCAGGATTCTAATTCCTCGAAAACCTTTGTCGTAGCCTCCGGTGCTTATCAATTTTCCGGTGCTCGACAGCCCTCCCGACGAGCACCATGTATTCAGGCTCAACTAAACATATATGCATAAAAACAATATAATTAATTAATTAATGAAATAAATTGTACCCAGGCCAGGCCAGTATTATATATATACCTTGAGTGTCTTGACAACTTTAGCGGTGTCGAGATCATAGGTAACGCCATGAGCCCAGCAGTCTTCACGGCCCTTATCATCTTTTCTGCACCACTTAGGATTCTGCATCAGTGCGGAGCGACCAAGATTAATGGCGTCATACCAGACAACCCTGTTGTTTGTCATCAACTGCATGTGCATGGCGGAAACACCCACGTTTTCAGTTACAGTTTGCCAGCTCGAGGCTGAAGGATTCATCTCCAAATCTGGTTTCCCATAGGCGCTGCAAACAAACAATACAAGAACATAATAATAAGCTACTGTTATTGACGCCATTGGAGAAACTCGATCTTTTATTTATCTAGCTTCTCCAATGGACTAATTCTTTTTATTTATTTCTCGATGTTCGATGTTCGATGTTCGATGTTCTTCGTCCTGCCTACCTCTTCACATATATATACTTGCATTATTGCGCTACTCAGATTCAAATGCCTACAATTATGGATATCCACTATTATTATATACAAACAAACTACCTAGCTCTTGCCTCATGCCCATCAAATTTTATTTTCTCAGCTCTCCCCTCCGCTCCCCTCTTCTTTTTATTTTATTAAAATGTTAAGTTAATTAATTCATGGACAATTTTACATAATGCAATCAAACATTAGAAAGGAAAATGCATGTTTTCTGGAAATTAAAATAACTTATTTTCCAGAAGTCATTTTCCTGCCGCAGAAGTCATTTTTCTACAGCTTTCTAAACGAACCAAAAGAAATTTATGATGCAAGTATCTCTCTTACTAGGATTTAAAAAAAAAAAAACAAAAAAAAAAGTTTATGAAATTTAGTTACTAATATTAGTTAATCCAATTAAGTTAAAACTAGAGTTAATTCTATTTTTTGTCATAGATTTATAGATGGCTTGACAATCGGATTTAAGTCCTTCATGGTGTTAATTTCTCCTGTGTTAAGCGATCTGCGAATCGTGCTGCCCACATTGGTGCTCGGGAAGCCGTTTCTGAGTTGGGTTGAGGGGAATGGTTTGACATTCCACCTCATTTTCTTGTTGATTGTCTTAGCTTGCTTCTAATTTAATGAATTAAGTCCTTTAGCTCAAAAAAAAATAAAAAATTGGTCATGCAACAATAACACTAGGACTAAATGTACATGTTCTAATAAATAAAAAAAATAGACTAAAAATGGGCTGTCACCTATAAATTTAAGACAAAAATAGAATTAACTCTTAAAACTAATATCATATATAAATCTTCTTTCCTCATCCTCTCATTCTCCTTCTCTTCTCCTCCTCCTTCTTCTCCTTTTTTTTTTTTTAAAAAAAAAAGGTATTTTAATAAAAAGTTTAACATAAATTTGATCACTTTAGCCATTTTATCATGTCAGAAAATGCTAAAAAATTACATTATGTTCTTAATCCAAAATGCTAAACATTAGTGTTACGGTTAAAGCAACATTTTTGACTTGATATTTTGATTAAAAAAAAAAAAACATATCTCTTTTTTCAAAGCCTTATTATTATAAATGTTACTAAATTATTAAATAAAAAAAGAAATAATTAACTTAAGAGTTAAGACTATCACAAAATGATATAGTAAATTATCTCTTTCCAATTCATAAAGAGATGTGAAATGCATGATTTACGTACTCACTTACTATACAATATGCAAATGTGAGCACACGTCTCTCTTTTTATTGAGGATTCCATGCTCCTTTGAAAGTAACATTAGTAATGAAAGGTCTCACGTAATGAAATTAACTCTTAAACTAATATCATATATAAAGAGTTAATTCCATTGGAGATCTTCTGTCTTTGGTGACAATTTCAAATTTAGTCACAGACTATCGTTTTTGCCATTTAACATCCCAGACTATTATTTTTTGGACGCTTTTAGTCCGTCTCATGACATTTCCTATTTTTAGTAAGTGCATTTTTGTATCTTTATATTTTTCTTTTGTTATTTTTTCAATTTCAACTGCTTTACGAAAAGCCGGTTGAAAAATATAGTTAGAAAAAAATCACAGGTTACCTAAAGCCCTAAACTAATTAAACCGGTTGAAACCGAAATAAAATATCAAAATAAAAATGTGAAAAGACAAAAAAAAAACCTTACTAAAAATATGAAAAGTCATGACAAGGACTAAAAGTGTCCAAAAAATAATAGTCTGTGATGTTAAATGACAAAAATGATATATAGTCTGGGACTAAATTTGAAATTGACACCAAAGACAGAGGACCTCAAATGGAATTAACTCCATATATAAATCTTCTAACTACTCATTCTCCTTCTTCTTCCTCTCCTTTTAAAAAAAAGGCATTTTAATAAAAATTTCAACATAAATTTGATCACTTTAGTCATTTTATCATGTCAAAAATTGCAATGGGCACCAATTTTCATTATGTATTTAATTCAAAAGGCTAAACACTAGTGTTACGCTTAAAGCAACATTTTTTACTTGATATTTCAATTTAAAAAAAAAAATAGATCTCTTTTTTCGAAACCTTATTATTATAAATGTTACTAAATTACAAAATAAAAAAGAAAAAATCAACTTAAGACTATCACATATAGGGGCTGGTACCTAAATGTCAGAATGAATTTTGTCAAAAACACCAATACTGGAAGAAGAAGCTGAATTAAAAGGTAGTTTGCTAAGATTGCCTAATTGACAACTTTCACAATCAATGTCCATCTTGTTGTTTGAACTAACATGAATTAAATTCTTAGTGCGTAATAATTGAACAGCGGATTTTTGCGGATGTCCAAGGTGTTGGTGCCACAGCTCTTCATTATCTAAGTTTTGTCTATTGGAAAAGTGTGCTTCCTTTGGTTTGGATTAAAAAAAAATCCCCTTTACGTTGACCCACTATTATGGCTCGACTTGTTGCTCGTTCCAAAATGCAGAAAATCTTATCGGTAAATTCACAATTTAAAAGGATATTGTCATGTTAACTGACAAATAGAGAGTAAATTACGACTTAGTTGGGGTACATGACGGACATCACGGACTAATAAATCATTCTTACCATCAGAAACTACAACATCCCCAACAGCATCTATTTTTAAGTGAGAACCATCACCAATGAATATTGAATCATGACCAGCATATTTTTTTAAGATTTAGTAACATACCTGAGTTTGCAGTCATATGATTTGAGGCCATCCCGTGAGATAAGAAAAGAGGTAAGCCATCTTGCTAGGACTTGGGGCAATTCCAAGGCACTGTCTTCGAAAAAGCGTAGAGCTCTGCGTGAAGTCAGTTGTCCCAATGGCGATGTCTTAGGAGATGAGAAAAAAAGAGAGCAAAAAGAGGGAGCCATTTCCTATATCGGGATCACAAAAGACTTCCTCGGGTTAAAACAGAGAGATCTTTTCCGTGGGGAGTCGATCTTTGGCATAAGGGTGGAAGTGTGTGAGAACCAGCGCTTATGTCGGGACCACAAAAAGTTTCCCCGAGGTTAAAACACGAAGCTCCGTGCCGGGGTCAGTTGGTTTGTACACATCGTTCCCACTAGTGTGGCTCGGCTATAGGCTTTTGCAAGATAAGAGGTGAATACCAATTTTGGATTGCATGCTTGATGAATGGTGTGAGAGGGTATCCCTTTTTTAGTTTTCATCCTATCTTTTAGGAGTATGGGGCTTCCTTAGTATATTCCTTGAGTAGATTTAGTAAGGGTGCATGACTAGCATATTTATTACATGATATGAGGGACTTCACCCCCTCCGTTTGCGTGACACTTATCTTGATCGACCTTTGGAAGAATTAAGTAATCATTGAGTTGGGGTTAGGTGTATCTTTGACACTTAAGTGATCATTGGTTTGATTGAAACTTGTGATAAGTGTCAAAGACACACATTTTTTGGGTTCATTTAGGGTGAATTCTAAGCTAAAAACAATCCTTTGTGTAGCAATATCGTGCCAATTAGCTATGTTTTGCATTTTACTGTAAATTAACACCACACTTTGTGTTTTATATGTGTTTAAGTAAGCTTCGGCCTTAAACTAACGAGGCAAAGTGGCACAACCGGAAAGAAAGCGGGAAAAGAAGACAAGCCGAGACCAAGCTACGAAGGCCACAAAGCGCGTTGCCGCGTGCGTTGTGGAGAGGCACAAACAGAGCTGATTTCCAGAATGTTCAACTCGCATCACAACGTGCGTTGTGACGCGCGTTGGACGGAATAAGTTCCCAAACAACGTGCGTTGTCCGGGGCATTGAAGGCTGCGTGGAAGAGCTGCGGAAGGGATTGAAAGGGGGGGGGGGGGGGGCTATTTAAGAAATTCTAGATCAGATTTAGAGAGGACATTTGGTAGGTTTTTAGAATACTTGATAGCTTAGCATTTTGTGATTGAAGAGAGAGCAATTTGTAGAGAGATCTTAATAGATTCAAGCTTTGATTTCTTGGGAGATTCATTGAAGGAAGAGATTGACAAACTCCAAATTCAAGAGATCTTGCAAGACTTCTTTTATTTCCTAATCTATTTGTTTGGTATTATCTCTACTCTTTTCATTTCTATTTGCTTGGTTAGGTTTACATTTATGAATGCTTTTATGATTTCTATGGCTATTGTAGGCTAGCTTAGCTAGGGTTTGAATTGTGAAAGTGTGTGATGATGATGCATGCTTTTGTGACTTAGTTCTTGAATTAGGGATTGATTGATTGCAATGCTCTATGTCTTGTTGTAGGGGATTTATTTGTTTGCATCAGAGGAACTTGATATCCTCCTATGGTTGTTTGAGGGATTGACCTATGCTAGGTCAATCCAAGCTCCCATCCTTGGCATTTCCTAGCTCAAGAACCCTACAGGGCTTGGCTGGGAAGGAGTTGTAGGCAAGGTATTTGTGGAAAAGTTTAGGTGAGACCTAAACAAGTCCTAGTAGTCTAACTTACGGAAGGACACAAGCCACTCCCTAGACTTAGCGTTTGCATCCTCTTTCCCTACGTCTAATGATTCTATAAGCATCTTAATCCACACTAAGCAATTCAACCCTATCTACCTTTCATTTGATTACCACTTGTTAGCATTCATTTTACTAGTTCACTATGACGTTTATCTTTTGTGTGCGCGTGACATGCAGTCAAACAATACCGATGTCTTTACTTTCTGACGTTAGCAACTTAGGGGTAACTCCGAGCGGCCATCCCTTGAGAATGACATAATCCGGAAATCATCCCAACACAGTCAACTCTTACGCTGTACCTAGCAAGAGTGAAGTAACGAAAAACGCGATAATCAATTCTATCCAACTTTTCTATTCGTACTATAATTCTACATTAAAATTCATATTCTAATATTTTAAAATAGTGTAATACAATTCCTAATAAAATATATTCTTTCCTACTTTTCTATTCGTACTATAATTCCATTTTAAAATTCCTATTTGTAATACAATAGGACAAT